AAAACTAAAACTGGTCGCAATTTTCGAATAAGAATGAGTCGGCAATTTTTAGTGGAATCGAAAATTTGGAGGTAAATAAAACACCGAAACCCGGCAAATAAATAGGCGATCGAATTTTTAGAGGGGTCGAAATTTTGGAGTTTTCACGGTACTAATTATTCCATTTCAATGAAACTTAGTATAAAGATGCTCTAGGACAATGTACAAACCTAATTAGTTTGGGGTAAAAATCTGTTCATATTAATTCCCTAATAAGCATAATAATTCATAATTTTTTGGTTCTAATCACACTTAATTAAACTTGGAGACATAGATTTTCTGTTACATTGCGCAGACCTCATTAGTTTTACACTCAAATCTGGTCATATTAATTTTCTGATTTGCATAATTAGTTTTCAGCTAAGTAATTTCGAATTATATTTAATGTGTCTCCAATACTCTCAGCACATGGGAGTTCTTTCTAAGCTTTCTTTGATTTGTCTATGTGCATACTATGGCAAAATTGTCTTTCCATATTTCCGCATTGTTGTGAATATACAAATGAAATAGGGGATTTTCCGTACAATTGCGAGATCTCGCGAGATGTATGAAAAACGCGCGTTGAACGTCTGCCGCAAAAATCAAACGATTTGATTTTGAACTAGAATTTCTTTATTTCGTAACTCACATCGACCGGCCGATCTTCGACAGAGGAATATTGCTTCCGAATACCCTTACTTAATCAAAATTGCCTATCATCAAATGTGTACAGCACATTATTAAGCATGGAAATGTCCCCAAAAATACTTCGCGTTTGTCGAATCCCACGCGATGTTTGACGCCACTACGACGCTATGACCTTTGTTTGTCCTGTTTTTACGTTCGATTTCACGCATAACGCGTGATTCTCGCAGTGTACGGAAAATGGTCTATTGCAAATTATCTGTACAAATCTTATTTGAAGTCACTTAATGCAGTCTGAGGATGTGAAGTGGATGTGGTTATTCAAACATTGATGAGGGATGTTGCAAGTTGCCCTTATGAATGTTGAATGCTCTGGTAACCGAGGATTGGATCTTGTGTATGCTTGTATCTCAGTTTGGTCTACATCATACAGCCACATACTAACTACAGGTTCTCTCTGAAACCATATTAATCTTGTCACAAAGATGCAACAGATGTACTACAGTACAATTAATCTTTGATGATATAGGCAGAAATATATTCCTCCAATAAATCCACCTGAAAAATAAATGCAGGAGTGATCGTGGGCATCCCAATCAACAGATGGTCGGGGTCTGCCAGTTAGGCCCTCTCAAAAATCGTCTATTAATATGCTGGGGTTTTATAGAAAGTTGCCCTGTGGAAATTGCTTGCTGTAGAACACTTGTGTGTCCAATGTAAGGTGGTGTCTGACCATATTGGATGTGAACATCCCCACTGAAATCGTCAGATTGCACAGAATCAATGATGTCTGTGACGGTTTTCATGGCATTTCTCTGACAGATTACTGCTGCATTTGGTTTCCCAACTACCAGACATTTGGTTGATTACAGGAGAAGGGAAGAAACTGAAATACTATCCTTTTGCCAAATGACTTGATGCATTAGGATTAGATATGTATGTAAGCATGCTGAAGGTTTAAAAGTGCAAACAATTTGAACAGATTCACTGCCTTATGAGCCAAGACGTGTACCATCTTGAATAAATCTAGCTTTACATGCCTGTTGAGTCAATGCTGGTTGAAGACTTGTTCTTTGATTGGTAACCAGAACAGGGTACTTCAAAAA